GCCCTGGAGGGCCGCGGGCATCTGCCGCAGGGCGCAGGCCCCAGAGGCGGGGGGCACCCAGGCTGGCCCGCCCTTCTCCTTCCTGCGGAGAGCGGACGTTGGAGGAGCGGCCTTGACACAGAATAAAACACAAGGCGAGAGGGGCACGGAGCCCCGGGGGCCAGGCGAGAGGGCGCTGGCGGGAGGCAGGGGTGGCCCCGGGGGCCCGCAGCCGCGAGCAAGAACCCCCAAGCGGGCAGGGTGGACAGGCACCCCCAGTCCAGTTAAATGTCTGCCGGCTCCCCAGACTGGCGGCAAAACGGGGCCGAGGACACGCTCAGAAGCCACGGCCGGGCGCGGGGCCTCCGGGGGCTCGGACGCGCACTGGGCGGGTCACACCCGTCAGGCCAGGCCAAGTACCTGGCGCCCTCACGGGGCAGGGCGGAGCCCACCCGTCGGCTCCCAGGGCGGCGGCCGAACCCCAGGTCTGCTCTGCGCCGTCCAGAGGCTGAGGCGCCTCTGACAGCGGAGCCCCGGCGGGCGCCAGGCTGGTGTCCAGCGCGGCCTTGAACACAGGACCGAGGGGGCATCACAGGGAGCCAGGCGGCCCGAGCTCAACGGCCACAGAGAAGCAGGCCAGCAGTGGCCGGTTCTGCTGATGGCCGCAACCGGCCACTGGAAGCGGCCAGCCCTCAGGCCCCCGGCAAAGAGCATCCTGGCGCTTCGGGGCACCAGGAACTGCAGGCTCCCGTGCCCCTACGCCCCGTGAGCAGCCAGGGAAACGCCGTGGAGGCAGAATGTGAGCAGGTGGCCTGGGGCGGGCGTGCAGCCCGGGGTCTCGGCGGGCAGGCGCACCTGCCGAGCAGGGGGAGTGCCCGGCCTGGACCCCAGAGGGCCATCTGAACCTAACGACGGGACACTCCTGCCAGACAGCAACCAGAGGGGCCAGCTCGCGAGCCCCACCGCCCAGCTCAGCCTCAGCAGGACGGCGGCCCCCACTTCCCGCCCCGCGCCGGGCCTCCGGCCCCAGGGAGCCCTGTGCCCCGCAGCTGCTGACCCGGACGGCCGGGCCACAGCGCTGGCCGAGCAAGCCCTGCCCGGAGCCGCGGAGTCTGAGGGACCCGAGGCAGCGCGCTCCCCGAGGATGGCGCAGGTCTGTGGGGGCCAGGTGCACACCTGTGACCCCACCTGGGCCCAAGGCGCAGGGCACCCGCCTGACCCCAAGTCCGGTCCACCTGCAAGCCTCAGAACGGATTTCTTTCTATAGAAACCTGCCGCCGCCCGCCCCTCGGGCATGACCGGGCGGGTGGACCCTGGAGGGCCGAGGCCGCGCCACTCCCCGGACTGGGGTGGGGGCGCTGGGGAGCTCCGCCGGGCGTCACCTGCTCGCTGGGAGGTGCGGGATGCGCCTTGTGGCCTGGGGGAGGCTCCCGCCCGCCTCTGTCCACTTAGAGTGTCACTAGCGCAGGGCGTGCGCAGCCTCCCACGGGGGTTTGGGCAGGCGCGCCCCAGCGCCGGGCCAGGGGCTGTCTGGACGGCGCCCCGTGACCGCGAGAAGCACGCTCTCACGTGGGTGCTGCTTGTGCTGAGCCTGGCCTCGGCCCGCGGTCAGTCTAAAGGCCGGGCAGGCGCCGCAGCTCGGCGAGCACCACACTTCCGGATGCCGGCCGAGCCCCGGCCAGCGTCCACACCCACCACGCGACAATACCTCGACAGCACGCCTCGCGGGGGGGCGCCGCGCCCCGC